TAGGCAAGAATAGGTGTCGCGTGTATTAGGATCGCTGTAAGCAACCTTTCCAACTAATTTTCTCATCCTAATTTCGTTGCACACTTTTGCGCGTTCTCGAACCAGTTTTCAACGTCACCGACCGATCAGATAACGAGTAGATAACAAATTAACATCGAAAGGGAGAAAGTTACCGTTCGGCTTCACCAACGTGCAAGTACCGATCTAGAATAATCGTAAGTCTGGAATGGAGTCCGCCTGAAAATCGGTGGTTTCCGCGAAACGATGCGCCTTTTCACCGTCCCCCGGTGGCAATCGGTCAAACAACCGTGTGGCCTGGAAATATGCTCGCAGCCACAGACACACACGCACATACGCGCACACATACACCCTCTCTCCCTGCGATGTGTGTATGTGCAGACGAAACGAGTGCACGAACGTGTGCACGCAGCCGGGCGCAGGTTCTCTTTAATCCGCTGGCTGCGTTGCTTCGTGACGGATCGATAGCCGATAACAACCGGGTCGAAAAGCATTGCCATGCAAAACAGCTCGTTAGGCGCCTCCCAAGGTATCGCGCGAGCGCGTGCCCGTCTTTATCTTGAAAGACGCCAACCACCTCGAGATTCTGGCGCCTCTTCTCTCCACCCTCGCCAGCTCGCCTGGATCTTCCTCCTCTCTCTCTCTGTACGTTCTTTCCTTGGATGGTCGTCGAAGGAACGAGAAACGTACTCGACACAGAGAGGAGAAGAAGCTTATTATTCACGTGGTCTGCCTTCGAGGAGACAGAAGACCCATCCTCTCCGGCCAGAGGATTCGTGTAATCCTCGACACGTTTCGCGGAAGATCCAGGCAATTAGCGGAGGCGCGTTTCTCCCTTTTTCTTCGATGGACGCGGCGCGGCGGCGGTCTCTGCTCCCTCAGAGTAGTTTTTCAAGCGGTTATGAAAGATTCAATGATTCATGCTGGGAGGAGTGGTCTCTTTGGAGGAGGACTCGTTGGGCTATTCGATAGGTTGACAGGAGTTTAACGAGAGGAATCTGAGATTTTAATGAGTATTTCTGGAGAGATGTTTGCTGGGGGGGTAATTAGGACGATTGATAGTGCAGTCGATTTAATTTAATTATTGAATAATTTATACTGCAAACATATCTCGCGATATAGACCCCAAACTATTCGCTGTTCCACGATTAATTCCGAAAAATGCTCCCTGTCTGCAATTTAAAAAATTCGCTTCTTAACTTGGACTAACACGGTTATAGCGTGCTGACATTTTCAGAGAAGAGCCCTTTAGAAGTAGCGTAATCCACGCAACGCGGCGTGCAGACGTAAACGTCGTTTCTCGCTCTCTCCCTCTCTCTCCCTCTCTTCGGCATCGAGCACAGCCTCTTTCGCATGCGTGGCGGCTGCGGTCGCCGCGTTGTTGGCCGGCTTCACCGGTTGAATCGGAGGCTGAAGGTGCGGGAAGATACGGGGGCAGGGTGGTTACTAATTGTCCGAGCCCTTCACCCCGCGAGAGCCCCCTCATCAACGCTGATTGCCTAACTCTAGGACCCTCGAGCTCTGTCCTCACGATCCAGCCGCCGGTAGGAGGATCCTCTGGCATGTCGACACGCTCAGATCGTTCGAATACTTTGCCCTCGTATGCTGGCCCTTTACCGTTACCCATTCGACCACCTATCTCGCCTCTGTTTGCTCTGGCCTCCTCCTTAAATTTTTCGCGAGAATTTACCTTTCGACGAAGATCGTCATATTTTTTGAGCAAATTTAATCTGTCTCTCGGTAGAATTGACGTTGGACGTTTCGTTGATCTCCAAGTACTGCTGGCTACGAGGGATTTGGAGGAAAGGATAGAGAATCAGAATAGGTAGAAATTAGGTTTGAAAGCGTTACAATGCCACATCGATGATATTGTGTAAAATGACAGTCTGAGTTGTGCGAATGTAGTGATCTA